TCTATCTTTGAACAGAGATTAGTTGTGGTTGGAGAGAAAATGATATTTTTGTTGTTTTCTTACCTGTTGTAGATTGGGCACCTCAAGCAAGGACTGAATCCACCTTCTGTATCAGAGTTGGCTTTTGGGTCACCACATCTGTTGACAGCTATCAAAACTGGAATCATAATCGGCATAATTAGCCTTGCTGTGAGTACCAAATCTACTGCACCGTCTCGGTTTTGAGAGTTTTTGTGTGTTCCAATTTGTTGTTTTAACATTTTTTTTTATCAACCAAATTGTTGTTTTAACATAAAACCTATAACTTTTAAGAGATAGAGGATTTACATTTCAAATTATGTCATATTGTAAAATGATAACTATTAAATAAGAAAAAATTGTCATATATTAACAAGTTAGTTTTATATAATTTAATTTGTATAACATTTTTAAAATATTAAATCTTAAATCCTAGGTAAGTTAGGAATATAGAGTACCAAATTAAAATGATGACACATAAGCTAATTGACACGTCATCTTGTTTGGTGTGGGGCCAACAAATGAACAGGAAGGAATTGCAGTTGGGAGAAGCTTTGCCATGTTCAAGAACTACCATATTGATGGCAACAAAGAGATGATAGCTTTTGGGATGATGAACATCGCCGGCTCTTGTACTTCCTGTTATTTGACAGGCGGTAAATTCCTTTGACAACTGTTGATGATCAGCTTGAAACTTCTTGAGTTTAAACTCAAGTTTGTTAAGAACTGTTTAACTAAAATGTTTTTGCGATTTATCATTGCAGGGCCATTTTCGAGGTCTGCAGTGAATTTCAATGCAGGATGCAAGAGTGCAGTGTCCAACATTGTCATGGCAACGGCAGTGATGTTCACTCTGCTGTTCCTCACACCACTGTTTCATTACACTCCCCTTGTGGTGCTTTCTTCCATAATTATAGCTGCCATGCTCGGTTTGATAGACTACGCAGCTGCTATTCACCTCTGGAAGCTCGACAAGTTCGACTTCATAGTTTGCATGGGTGCTTACCTAGGTGTTGTCCTTGGCAGCATTGAGATTGGCTTAATCATTGCAGTGAGTGGACTTGATGATTTCTACCTAAATGCTAACCATAATCCTGAATTGAAAATCACTCATACTATCTGAATTTCCAAATGCAGGTCACTGTTTCCTCACTTAGGGTTCTTCTGTCTGTGGCTAGACCTAGGACGTTTGCTCTAGGCATCATTCCAAACTCTGGAATCTATAGAAGTATCGATCAATACCCGAATGCAAGCAGTGTTCCTGGGGTTCTCATTCTTCAGATTGATGCACCCATCTACTTTGCCAATGCAAACTACTTAAGAGAAAGGTACATGCACAAAAGAAAGGCTGCCAATAGCTAAGATAAAGAAAGGCTGCCAATAGCTAAGATGTTTTAGAAGGCGAAGAGAATTATAACATTCATATTTCCCGGTTGATTTTGTGTTCAGGATCTCAAGATGGATCTATGAGGAAGAAGACAGGTTGAAATCTTCAGGAGAAGCAAGCTTACACTACGTCATATTAGATATGAGTGGTAAGCCACATAAAAGGAGACACAATTAATTTCTACAAGTGTATCACTTATAAGATCATTTCCTATATTGAATGAAATACATGTAAACTACAGCTATTGGTGGCATTGATACAAGCGGGCTAAGCATGCTCGAAGAGGTCAAGAAAACCATTGATAGAAAAGGTCTAAAGGTACAAAATTCTGAGCAATATACTAAGAAATCTGCAAAATCTTGGAAACAAGTTAGCTTAAATGCTTACCAGTTTACCATGTTGTTTCTGATTCAGCTTCTACTGGCAAACCCACGAAGTGAGGTGATTAAGAAGATGGACAAATCCAAGTTCATTGAGACAATTGGTCAGGAATGGATCTATCTGACTGTAGGAGAAGCTGTAGCAGCATGCAACTTTATGCTACACATATGCAAATCAAATCCAAATGCAGTTGAATATGGTACACAAGATAATGTCTGATATATGGTCTATCAAATCAATGGAGCGACTAATACATAATGAGGATGACTTTGAGTGCGGTAACTATCCATGATAATAGAACTTGCTCTGATATGATCAAAGAGGAAGAGTGAATATTTTTTGGATACGTAGAAGTATGAATTTCTGTAATATTATAGAAGAAAATATGATATTGCGTGGTTCACTCTGGAACTGGGATCCTCTTAAAAATCCCTGTTCCTTCTTTATGTAATATCCCAGAAGTTGGAATAGAATTAAAGATGCAACTCCTGATTGCTCCAGTATTGAATCCAAATTGTTTCTGGAATTCCTCATAAGAGCTCGTTATCACACAACCTCAAGTTGCCAACTCTGATTATACCAATAATCAGGAAAAACTCGAATACCAAATTCTCCAAAATGAAAAGAAGGTTCCCAGATTAATTCTAAGTCACTTTATTATCAAAGAAAATGAAGCCACCTCTCCATTACTTCCAATACTCTTCTTGGTTCTATCTTAACTACTTATGGCAAGTAAACCACCTTAAAATAGAATCTCAGTGGCAGGTAGAAAAACCTCAATATAAAATCTTCCCTATAATCAACACTCAACTGAGGACATGATTGCTATGAATTACTAAATTAGAAAACAAGCCCCAATGAATGAACAGGCTGTAAATAAAAAATTGGGCATAAATTATGATGACAGACCACAATCGTCATTTCCTAGAGCTTTTCTAAAGAGTTGCGACATTAAACTGCATACCTAAAACCAACTAGCTCCAATTCCAACACACAATATAAGACAAATATCAGCCACAAGGCAAAAGCTATTAAATTGCTGAATCAAAGAAAAACAAAGATTCACAAAAAAAAAAAAAAAAGGGGGGCCTGAAAAGTTCCTTGGTTTCAAAACTGAGGACATGAATGCTATGAATTAGAAAGCACCTTGTTGCAAGTTTTCCCGACATCCAAGGAACTTGTATCCAAACTCAGAGCAAGATATAGGCACTTGGAATTGTCTGTTTTTTTCTTAAATAGATGAACCTCCCTTCTAGTTTGCCACTGTGCTAAGGGCTTTCTTCAAATGAGCTACGAATTGGAGAGCTTTTGCTTGAACAAGCGCAGGAGCACTTCATGAGCACTAATGTCCAGACACTCAGGATCCCTGAAACATAAAAAATTGTTTGGACTTCATTTCTCAAGACTATGAGTTAATGAAAAGAATTACTATCTTTATTTTTCCATGAGATGCAAAATCAACATCTCTATAATCTTCAAAGTCAAAAAGCACCCATGAGTTTTCTAGACAAATCTAGCCAAAGCGTGCATCTCCCACAAGTCCAAAATTTGGAAGAGCCCTAGTCAGTAGATAATAGAATATGGTATGGTAATTAAAACAATGGTAATTAAAACAAAAGATCCGAAAGGAAACAAAATTTTCAAATGTCTCTGGGTTTGCATTACAAATTGATGAAAATCAGCAAGGAAGCCAGTGAAGACTCAATTATCACGGTGAGTGCTTAACTGTTGATAGAAGTAACATAAGCCTTTTGAAAAAAATCAAAGATGGTTGTAGAAAGTGTATAAATCAGAGCAGGAAATTACCCACATCTGAGGAACAAGAATTTAGTTGCATGATTCCATTCCTTATATTGACATCACATGGCTTCATAGATTCAGCGGGTGTTGTGTGTGTGTGTGTGTGTGAGAGAGAGAGAGAGAGAGAGAGAGAGAGAGAGAGAGACCTGCACAATGTTTGCCCCTTTTCATAAGAACTTGGAATGAACCATAGTCTTCGCAGGGAAGGCGACTCAAATTGCACAAAGAAGCCATCATGTTGCCCATGTTTCCACTTCATAGAGCCTTGACTTCCAGAGCTGTAAATTGAGCATTTAATCATTCATAAGCCCTCTGTTGCTGTTTTGCATGCAACTTTTATTGTGATTCAAATAAAACCAAACCACCATCATAACCAGATGCCAACCAACAAATGAATTAATGAATATTCAAGTTAGACTCGTATCATGAACAAGAATAGCTTGATTGCATCGGAAATTGTCAAAATACCGGCTCTGGGGCAGACTGATATGTTACGGAACAAAGAACAGACGCTCAAAAGCATGCCATGGCGGTGGCAGCACCGATACCCAAACAGAGCACCGACTCTCCACCCAGTATTCAAATCAGGGATTCTCGAAGCAGGATAACCAGTCTCAAATATCTCAGCGCCGTCAGCTCTTACCGACATGAGCCCCAGAGCCTACGGCGGCCATGAAGGAATGCTCTTTCAGCACGGCGGAGAGCAGTCCGCAATACTACTATTCCACCTCCAAAACCAACCCGTCAGACTCCCCCTGGCATTCCCCCCACCCGATTACGCCGAAGCTATGTCCTACGATTACCCGTTGTACCCGAATTACATGGCCAATATGGAATCTGCCCGGGCCAAAGCCCGGTCGCAGAGTGCATCCAAATCGAGGCCAGATTCGTACGACAGGCAGCCCAGCGGCCCGGAGAAGAGCATCGGTGGAAGGGAGGAATGTGCCGAGGGCGGTGCGGATGCAGCGGCCGTCGTCGCACGTCGGAGCCACCCCGCAAAATTACTGCAGATCGCTCGTTGCATTTGATGTGAGTATTAACCAGTTCGAAAACTGAAACACATTTCCTCTTTTAGAAAATTTAGCTTTGATTTTAAATATATTTGGTAAATTACTCTCTTACCATCCACTTTCACAAACCCACACACGTCCTTTAGCGTTTATTTGAATAAAAATTAATAAAATAAAGACTGTTTATACTTTGTCCAATAAAAATTAATAAAATAAAAAAAATTTACTTAATTTGTGCTTTAAATGTATAAATTAAATTT